TATTTTTTTCCTATAGCTATTTTTTCCCTTTTTACACCCCAAGCTAAACATTCTATATTTTCCCAACTACATCATATCTCCCATGTTCTGAAGTATATTATATATATATATATATATATCCATGTTCTGAAGTATATTATATATATATATATATATATATATATATATATATATATTTTTTTTTTTTTTTGTTGGTTGTGGGGGCCTGAACTCTGGGCCTGGGCCCTGTCCCTCAGCTCTTCAGCTCAAGGCTACCGCTCTACCACTGGAGCCACAGCACCACTTCTGGCTTTTTCTGCTTATGTGGTGCTAAGGAATCGAACCCAGGGCCTCATGCATGCAAGGAAAACACTGTACCACTGAGCCAACTTTTCAGCCCTATAATTGTTTTCTTCCACCTTGTGATTTATTCCATTTTATCTTTTTAAAAATGTTTTTGTATTGTAAAAATACTGAACAGAGGGGTTACAGTTACATGAGTAAGGTAAGGAGTACATTTCCTATCAAGCATTGTTACCTCTTTCTTTGTTTTTCCCCTACCATCTCTTCCCTCACTACCTCCCCAACTCCTCTCCCCCCTCCTCCCCTAGTTGTAAAGTTCAACATAGTGTCTTGTACATCTCATTGTTACAATAGGTCAACCTGTATCCTTATTTCAGCATTTTGATATTTCCCTTCCCCTCCTCAAATCAGAAAAATGTATATACAAGATACGGGGCACGGATATCAAATACAGTAAAAACAGGGTTAGGGTATATAATTTTTTTTTGGTCCGTTGTGGGGCCTGAACTCTGGGTCTGGGCACTGTCCCTCAGCTCTTCAGCTCAAGGCTAGCACTCTACCACTTGAGCCACTGTGCCACTTCCAGCTTTTTCTGTTTATGTGGTGCTGAGGAATCTAAACCAGGGCCTCATGCATGTGAGGCAAGCACTCTACCACTGAGACATCTTCCCAGCCCTGTTTTTTTTTTTTTTGCCAGTACTGGAGCTTGAATTCAGGGCCTTGAGCTCTCACTTGGCTTTTTCACTCAAAACTGGTGCTCTTCCACTTGAACCGTATCTCCACTTTTGGCTTTTTGCTGATTTACTAGAGATAGGAGTTGCATCAACATTCCTGCCTGGGCTAGTTTCAAACTATGATCCTCAGACTGGAGTCTCCTGAGTAGCTAGGATTACAGATATGTGCTACTGGTGCCCAGTGGAGATAAGTCTTGAGGATCTGTCTGCCTGTGCTGACTTAGAACTGTGATGTTCAGGTCTCAGCCTCCTGAGTACCTAGGATTTATAGGTGTGAGCTATCAGTGCCCAGCAAAACTTAATATTGCAAGAAACTTCATATACCAGTGAGGGCTGTTTTTCTGATTTGTAATGAGAAAAGGAACTGTGTATTTGTGAGCACATCAGTGAAAGTAGGAGTTGGGAAGTTAGAATGTAGCTTACTCGCTGGGTGCTGTTGGCTCACACCTGTAATCCTGTCAGGAGGCTGACATCTGAGGAACATGATTCAAAGCCATCCTGAGCAGGGAAGTCTGGGAGACTCTTAACTCTAATAAACCACTCAGAAAACGGGAAGTGGTACTGTAGCTCAAGTGGTAGAGCGCTTGCCTTGAGCTGAAGAGCTGAGGGCTGAGGGACAATGCCCAGGCTGAGTTCAAGCCCCATGACCAACCAAAAAAAAAAAAAAATCTTACTCAAGAGTTAGTTTTGAGGAAAGCTTCTTTCTTTTGGTGCCAGGCCTTGAACCCAGGGCCTAGCCTCTGTCCCTGAGCTTCTTTTGCTCAAGGCTAATTCTCTACCACCTGAGCCACAGCTCTGGCATTTTGGTATAGTGGAGTCTTATAGACTTTCCTGCCCTGGTTGGCTTCAAACTGCAAGCTTTAGATCTAGCTATAATCCTGTAGCTAGGATTATAGGTGTAAGCCACTAGTGCCCAAATGCCTTTTTTTTTTTTTTTTTAAAAGGAAAATACATACCTATTAGCAAAACAAACAACAAAATTCCAGTGATGGTAAGGATGGAGAGAAACTGGATTTCTCATATATTACTGGTTTCTACCAGCAGTATCTATCATATGGATGGTCACTCTGGAAAGTAGTATAAAAACACAAAACTTGTATACAAAGCATCATAACAGTTTTATCTGTGATAGAAAACAAAACCTTGGAAACAACCTAACTATAATTGGGGAAATGGATGAACAAATGGTATATCCACAGAATAGAATACTACTCTTCCACAAAAAAAGAATGTGTTGATAAAAACATTAGATAAAACTCAAAGGCACTGCATTCAGTGAAAAGCCTCCATCTCAAAAAGTTACGTTATATGAATGCTATTTATGTAATATTTCTGAAATATTGGTGGTTAATAGAAGACATGGTTGGTGTGGCAGGGGGAATGTATGAATGTTACTCAGTGTTCTGTTACTCTGAGAAAATATCTGAGACCAAGAGGGAAAGGATTATTGTACTCATGGCTTCAGAGGGTCTGTCGTTTCATGGGCTTGGGGTGAGGCAGGGAGTATGTAGTGGAGGACAGCTGTTTACCTCATGGCAGCCAAGAAGGGAGAAGTGGCCAGGAACCTTTCAAAAGGGATATCCCCAGTAACCTAATGCTTCCACCTCCTTCCAATAGTGCATTAAAGAAGCCACTGAAGAGGGTAGAGCCTCTGATCTAATCTTTTCCCACAGGCCCCACTTCTGAATACTGATACATTGATTGGGGTCTAGCTTTGAACATATAAGCTTTTGAGGAACATTTCACATGCAAACTGTACAGGTAGTATGAAAGAGTTTTGTTGCAAAGGAACAGTTCTAGATCTTTGGTGTAAGGATGATTATTTAAATTTATATGTGGGATAAAGTTGCGTTACACTATACCTAACACATGCAGAAGTATGAAGGTTAAGATGGTGAATGTGCGATACCTAGTTACCTGTAATATGCCAAATTGTCAGTTGCCTAGGGCCAGTGTTTTCAGAGTTAGTGAGAGTGTAGACAACAAACTGGAGTTAAGAAATATTTCTAAAGGTATAACTTATAAAGGGTCTAAGCTTGCTGGGTTCTAGTGGAGCTGCCTGTAATCCTAGCTACTCAGGAGGCTGAAATCTGAGAAATGTGGTTTGATGCCAGCCTGGACAGGAAAGTCTATTAGACACTTATCTCCAATTAGTCAGAAAAAATGTAGAGGTGTGGCTCAAGTGGTAGAATATTAGCCTTGCATTAATAAATCCAAGTGAGTATGAGGCCATGTGTTCAAGCCCCAGTACCTGCACACACATTTACCCACAAGAGGGTCTAGGTTTGCCCATCACTAGCACTCCTGTCGTCACTGTCCATTTTAGGTCTTGTTTCTCTTCTGATTCAGAGCATAGAGCTAGGCCTATTTCTAGTGGCAAACCAATCAACCATCCCATGGGTGCAATCTCCAGGCCTTTAGTCTTTTTCAGTAATTGGTTTCTCCACTGCCTAATACTGAGTTTGCTTCTTTTCTATCGGAGTTTTTTTTTTTTTTTTTAATTTTTACATCTCAATTTTATGCCATTGCAGATGCTAGAAGTTGCCAGAAGGCTGTCCTCCAGATACTTTTCCCTTGCTCTAGCTTATATCACTACTTCGTTGCAATTAGCATTCAGAATATGCACTGTCATCTTATTAAAATTTATGCTTTTTAATGGAGAAAGCACATGGAGAGTTGATTGTGGAACTGTGGCTTATCCTTGCTCTTCTTAGTTACCTGTGTCTAAATTAAGCTGAACCTCTGGGCCTCAGCTATTTCTAAACAGGCATCACAATTTACTAAGGCTAATGCCTGGGGGCACGTTAACCTTGCAGACAGTAATCTAATTCAGTGTCATCACAAGTGCATAATGCTGGAGTTTGGAGTTTTGCCAAAAAGCACTATTCAAATGAACATTCAGTTGGCATGGGGTGGGGAAGGTGGGTGTGGACTAGGGAAGGAGAATTCCAGAATGGTTGTGTAGATATTTTTGTGCCCTTTCCCCTCAAGGGTTATGTTTAAATGTTGCAAAAAGGTGATAAATAAAACCTTCAGATTACTATGAAGAAACCATAATGAAGGTGTTTCACCTCACCTAACAATCCTTGAGCATCATCTTTTGTGCTAACTGCCTGACCTTGTCCCGGAGTGGTGACACAAAGCCAAGTACCAGCAAGCCACCGCACACCACTCACTAACATTAGGGGACACCTCATGTTAGTTAGATCAAGGCCCCCTAAAGGAGGTTAGGGCCAGAAGAAGGTCACCTAAAGGGCTCCCAGAGGACAAGACAACTGTGCAACCTTACTCAGCTGTATAAAGATCGCTAATAAGTTTTGGCTGTGGTACAGCCCGAGGCGTGGATTCCGGGTGAACTGAACTACCTTAGAGTCCTGCCTCACAGGCTGCAGGGCCTGACTCCTCGATCCTTCTCGGCGCTCACAGCTGGCATCTATGTGCAGACCCCAACAAGAGTTGAGGAGCTTCAAGGACGCAGGGTTGTGTCTCCCAGAAAAGGTGGCTTTTGGGGGAAGAGGGCTAGGTACGAGAGGATAAAAACAAAACACGCCAAGAAATCCAGGCAGACAACCTTTCACCCAGGCTCCCGCCCTCTACGCGCTCCCCGGGTGGCGGGCCGCGGCCCGGATCGCAGGGGGCGGGCGGGGGGCGTACCCGCCTCTCAAAGGAGGGTTTCCTCAGTCCTCAGCTCTTCGTTCAGGGGCCCGTCGCGGGCGGGGGAGGCCGCGGAGGCACCAGGCCAGCATCCCCGGCCACGCCGGGCTGGTGACACGCAGGCACCGGAACCGAAGCCACGCTGGGTCTCGCGGCCGGGTCGCCGAGCCGGGTGAGGGCGAGGGCGAGGGCGGGCGCCGCAGCGCGCTTCCCGTGTGCGGGGCTTCCCACAGTGCACCGCGCGGCAGCGGCGGCGGCGGCAGCGGCGGCGGCGCTCTAGCCACGGCATGTCTGCCTCTCGACTGCTCTGGGAGGAGGAAGAGAAGGAGGAAGAGGAGGAGGAGGAGGAGGGGGAGGAAGAGGAGAAAGGCGCAGGGGTGGGAGCTGTTGCCGAAGCTGCCACAGCCAAAGTTCTCCCCCCTCCCCCCTTCCCCTCCTCTCCAGGCCCCGTAGGAAGGTGGGAGCTGCCGTCGGCTGCCGTTGGTGACCGCGCGACTCGGCGCCCGTCTGCCCGTCCGCCCGGCGGCCCGCGGTAAACGCTGGGCCTGGCAGGCCCGGGCCCGGGGGAGGACGGGGAGGGGGTGGCGGGGGGGGGGGGAGCGCGCGGCGGTAACGGCGTGACCGGGAAGGGGAGCCACAGCGAGGCGGGAGGGGGGACGGCCCGGGGAGCGGCCGGCCGAGGCCCAGGGCCGCGCCGGGCTGGCTTTGGTGGGGGACGGGAGGAAGCCGGGCGAGGATGGTGGGTTGCGGGGATTGAGAGCGGAGCATGACGGGGGGGGGGGGGGGGTTGGCGGAGGCGAGCGGGCGGCCTCCGCGGCCTGACGTGGTGTGTGTGTGTGAGAGTGTGCAGGGGGGTGACCGGGTGGGGAAGGCGGTGGGATGCTCGCGCGGGGAGGCCCGTGGTGCCGCCTGTGGGTGTGAGGAGGCCGGAGAAGACCCCAGGTGTCCTGTCTGCGCGCCGTGCCTGGTGCAGTGCCGTGGGCTCGGCAGGCCGCAGTCACCGTGGCTGCCCGAGTGCGCTCTCGGGGAGAAGGGAAGGAAGGGCCCGGGTTTGGAGGCAAGGGAATGCTTGCAGGAAACGTGGTGCGAGCGTGAAAGCGGCGGCCGGAGGCCGGAGGGAAGATGCGGGCTAGGTGGAGGAATGCAGGGGGCGGCCGTGGCGAGGAGTCTGGAGGATTCCGAGGGGTGTTCATTGTGCACATCTGTTAAGGGATATTTGATTCTGGAAAGAACGGAAGGGTTTCTAAAGGCAAGAAAGAAGGGACTGAGGACTTGCCGCGGGTAGAAAGGAGAGCGTTGGAAGCCAGAGGGAGGGCGAAATATTAAGAGAGAAGATGCAGGGAATGCATAATAGAATAGACAGATGTAGCATAATTAACAAATGCTGGCCCAAGGACTAAAGAGTTATTCCAGATGGGCCAGCATGGCCTAGTTCCGAACCTGTTTGGGATCCTCAGTAGATGGCATCTGGTAAGTGTGCGGGTCGGGGCCAAGGTTGATTGTGGGGTCACTGAGGATTTAGACCTTGGTCTGACTCATTTCAGTCCTGCCCTACTGAGTATAAAAACCTCTGAGACAAACCTTGAGAAACAGCCTGGGCTATGGGAATTCTTGAGGCCATGGAGTTTAGCAAATTTGAAGTATTGTCACTTATCAGAGGCTGCAAGAACACTATGCTGGCAATGGAAATTACTTGGCTTGGCCGTTTTCTTCTTGACTGCCCAGCTGAAGTGGTCCGAGAGAGCGGGTGCCATGCCTAGGTTGCCATACTCAAGATTGTAGTCGGTGGTGTTGGGGGAAGTTTATGCATCACGACCACTTTTTAAAGGCTCCATTTGTAGCTGGACGCAAATGAGTCTTAATTTGCTGGACTGGTTCTGTACTTCTGGGGTTGGCGGGAGATTTTTCACTATTCACAGTTCTCCTTGTACTGTCTCACTGAGACATGGTTGTGTTGAGGAAAATAAAGCTGTAAGCAAAATGTAAGCATGAAAAATGGGGGAGCTACAGAATCTGTTTTGGTCTTAGGTTGTCAGGAGGTGAGGATCAGTTATCTGAGATCTAGGGGAATCTTAAGAGACCAAATGACTGGAATATTCTAAACCCAGGTTAGAGGGACAGTTAACATCTGTCAGGAAATGAACTAAGTCTGTTGATTTACAGAGCCCATCCCAGACCTGATTTCCAGGAGGGAATTTTGAGTGAGGACTGTGCTTTTAATATTTACCTCGATGTTATTTACCTTTTGGTATTAAAAGAAACTATATCCACATTATGTTGTAATTGTTTTCCAGCTGGAAAAAGTGTAATAAGTATGTTAAGTGTGAAAAATCTTTTTATGGTTATTGAAGGTGAAGAGATGAATGGGGAAAATGGAGTGAAATATGTCATTTAGCAAATAGCTCTATAGAGGGATGCTAATTTAGCATTAGAGTAGAGGGAATTTTTCTTTCACTACAAATTTTCTTATAGAAATAATCCAGGTTTGCATTATTTGAGCACCTTGGCAAGCTTTCTATCAGTACATTTAGATTTAGTGACTTTTTAAAAGGGCTTGCTTGTTTTACATAGCATGATGTGCACATTTTTATTGTTAACCGTAGTTTGAGAGAGCCAGTTTTCTTCCTCCTCATTAGTACTGAATGTTATCTTTCCTTTATTGTAAGTATAATGCCCTTAAATATAGCATGCCATTTTTTGCCCTCATCCCCCTTTAAAAATATGAAATAATAATACGTGGATATAATTTAAAAAAATTGTAGCTCCCTCTGTACCTGTCCATTGCAGTTCTGCTTTCCAGAAACTGCAGCTTCTAAGCACTAATATATTAGTTCTTTTCATGCTTCTCTTCAGATCTTCAAGTAATAGGCGTATGCCATTTTTGAGACAAGGTCTTACTATGTAGCCCAGGCTGACCTCCAACTTGCATTGTAGCCCAGCCTGGCCTCAAACTTTTCTGTCCTGCTTCAGCCACTCTAGTGCTGGAATCATAGGCATACACTGCCATGGCTGGCTCCATTATTTCAGCCTTTTTTTTTTTTTCCCAGTGGTACTAGGCTTTGAACTCAGGGCTGTACCCTTGGTAGGCTAGTGCCTTATATTTTGTGCCATGCTTCCAGCCCTGCATTTAGCTGATTATTTTGGGGATGGCATCTAGGGCCCAGTTGTCCTCAAACTGCAGTCTTCCAGATCTCAGCCTCCTGAGTAACTAGGAGTCAGACTTTCATAAGTGAGAAAGATTGATATGGCTTATACTAATCTTTTTTTAAATCCTTTCTCTCCTCCTTTCTCTATTATAGGTAGTATTGTTTCCTTTATTTGATGCTTATGACTTTAAATATTATTCTTAGACCTTTTAAAGCCTAACAATTTTAGTCTGTATCTCTTGACTTCCCCACTATGGTAAGCCTTTTAATCTGAAGGCTTTGCTGAAGTAGAGAGAAGCGTTTTTAAGTATAGACTGAAAATACTAAATACAATTCTGTCTAATAATAAAGGGAAGTTTGGATCAATCCAAGGAAAACTATGTTGTGGGAAACAGCATCTTTGTGGCATTAGATTTGATCTTTAGAAATAGGCATGCTTGATAATGATGATTGTTCATTTTGGAATTAGTTAACAGGTTGCAGTAATCTTTGATAGTTTTCTGAAGAATTTTAGTACATGGAATCTGGAAAGGCATTAAAATGGTTCCTGAATGATTGCCCACTTTTTCTCCCTCTCTTCCTTTCTCCCTGTCTTATTTATTTGGTGGCACTGGGATTTGAACTCAGGACCTTGGACCTGCCAGGCCGGAGCTCTACCACCTGATCTCTCTTTTTTTTTTTTTTTTTTTTTTTTGAGTCCGGTCATGGGGCCTGAACTCTGGGCCTGGGCGCTGTCCCTCAGCTCTTCAGCTCAAGGCTAGCGCTCTACCACTTGAGCCACAGTGCCATTTCCGGCTTTTTTCTTTTTGCTTATGTGGTGCTGAGGAATCGAACCCAGGGCCTCAGGCATGCAAGGCAAGCGCTCTACCACTGAGCCACTTTCCCAGTCCCGACCTGATCTCTCTTTTTTTCTTTTGTTACTTTTCTAATGAGGTATTACATTTCGGCCGAGGTTTTCTTGGAACAAAATCATCCTATTTATACTTCTGGAATAGTTGGGATGACAAAAGTTGGTACCTGGCCTCTTATTGGTTGAGATGGAGTAACCCCCTCCGGTACCTTGAACTTCTGTCTTCCTATATCTGCCAATCATGTAGCTAGGATTATAGGCATAAGCTACTCTGCCCAGCTCCTTGCTGCAATACTTTTTTTTTTTTTGCCAGTCCTGGGACTTAAACTCAGGGCTTGGGCACTGTCCCTGAGCTTCTGTTTTTGCTCAAGGCTAGCTCTCTACCACTTGAGCCACAATGCCATTTCTGCCTTTTTCTGTTTATGTGGTACTGAGGAATTGAACCTAGGGCTTCATGTATGTTGGGCAAGCACTCTGCCACTAAGCCACATACCCAGTCCTACAATTCTTCTTATTTTTTCTGAGGGGGTGAGGTAGGGAAGAAATACAGAATGTGATAAGGAGAGGAAGAAAAAGAGCAGTAGGGTTTAATCTCTGGGGAAACCCAGCAATTTGGTTCTTAGTGTATGTTTGTGCACTTGCATGTATGTGTATGTGCACATGCTCCTGTGCCTGTGCCTGTACTAGGTCTTGAATTCAGGATCCAGGTGCTGCCCCTTAGCTTTTTTTGCATAAGACTGGCATTCTTCCACTTGAGCCTCAGCTCTGCTTCTGGGTTTTCGGTAGTTAATAGGAGAAGAGTCTCACAGACTCTTACTTTGTCTGACTTTGAACTGATAGTCTCAAATCTCAGCTTTCTGAGTAGCTAGGATTACAAGCATGAGTCATTGCTGATCAACTTGGATTGATTCTTAATTTTTAATTAATACCTGTTGAATTACTACTAGAAAATAGTGGTGTTAGTGGGAGTGTATGCTGTAGGGATATTTTGTCTATATAGTGAAAGAATGAAGAACAGAAGGAATATCTTAACTCTGGACTCAGGGCCTGGACAATGTCCCTGAGCTTTTCTGCTCAAAGCTAGCATTCTGTCACTTTGAGCCACAGCTCTACTTTGGTTTTCTGGTGGTTAACTGGAGATAAGAATCTCAGGGACTTTGCTACCCAGGCTGGCTTTGAACTATGCTCTTCAGCTCTCAGCCTCCTGAGTAGCTAGGATTACAGGTGTGAGCTACTGGTGTCTGGCTGGCAGGTTTTTAATTAAGGGAAGAAGAGAATGAATTAGAGGGGATTCATGATCACTGAAGGGGTGAGATCAAAGACTGAGTCTTGTTTAATCTGGAGTGAATTGGTCTGGGTCAGGACAGTAGGGGCTTTTTTAAAAATTGGAGTCAGTCCTGGGGCTTGAACTCATCGCCTATGTGCTGTCCCTTAGCTTTTTTTTTTTCCCTCAAGGCTAAGGCTCTGCCACTTGAGTCACAGCTCTATTTCTGGCTTATTGGTGGTAAATTGGAGCTTCATGGACTGCTCGGAATG